GTAAAAGTCTAAGAAGCCTGGTTGTTATTATTAAATCTGTAATAGCTCTTCTTCTTTTGTCCCACTAATGTGCCGATCACAAAGTTTAACTGCGTTTGAAGCTTCTGATGTTATCATTCACATTGTTTTTATTTGACACAAGCTTCGACAGTTTTCTTTTGAAACAGGTTTCTCGAGTCAAAGCAGAAACACTCCCACCTCCCTGCAAGAGGAAACAGAAGAATAAACAGCAGAAGCAGCTCAGTCCTGTACCAAAAGAAAATGAAAAAGTTATTTTTGTTGCTTGTTTTCTGTCACATTTCATCATCAGGTAAGATGACATTTTAATTTTACTTTAAGTTCTTTGCATTGTGCTCCTGTGTGGCTCCAAGACACAAATTAATTTAGTTCACTTTTACCACAACTTGATAAGAATACAGTATAAGTTTTACTGAATCATATGAATACATCATATTCACTGATTGTATACCTTGTTTGTCCTGCAGTCAAACACACCCTGAAGTTTTTCTGGACTGCATCTTCTGGAGTCCCAAACTTTCCACAATTTATGGGTGTTGTTATGGTTGATGACATTCTGGCAGGTTACTGCGACAGCAACAAAAATATTCAACCAAAACAGGACTGGGTGAAAAAGATTTTAGAAAAGGATCCTCAAGAATTGGAGTTGTACACTGGAGAGTGTTTTGAGATTCAGCCAAACTCCCTCAAAGCCAAAATTGACATTTTGAAGCAGTCCTTCAACCGAATTGGAGGTAAAGTATGAACATGAAAAAAGTATGTTTCTGCATCTTGTGCACATTGGAGGATTATTCTCTTGTGTGGAGTCAGTAGGCCTAAACAATAAAAAAAATCTAATTGCAATCATTTTGACTGATATTGCAGTTGCAGATTTGCAAAACTATGCAATGATCATTTTTACATATTTATTCTTATTTTCACTGAAAAACATGTTTAAATGTTTATGAAGTGATGCAAGGATCTGTTCCAAACAACGATGTTTACTTAAGTCTGTAAAATATGATGTGTAGGCCAGGACATTTCTGCAGCATGATAATATTTAATTTAAAGTGGTATTCTGACACACATACAGCCTTTAACAAATATTGGCCCTCGTGCCATTTGAAAATGCAGTAGACCATTTTGAGTTTTTGATAAGATTACGATTAATTGTTCATCCCTAGCGGCCAGCATTAGTTTTAAAGTAAAGTGACCCTCTGCATGGCCCCAAGATAATATTAAGGATGCTGCCATTACACGGATGATATCAGTTTTGAGTTAACCTCCAATCTGGCAAAACTGTTTTCTTGTTTACAACCTGAATGATCGTTCCATCAGACCCATTTACGTGCCATATTTTGAGATCTCACCTTGGTGGGTACAGTGTTATTATAACCAAAAGAACCAACATCCAGAAACAAAAAATGAAAACCCAAGTTGTAGCATGTTTTTCCTCTTCATGTCAGTTGGTATTGTGCTTCAGTGGAGCATATTCCCAAACGTACTACAATTCCAATCAGATTAGAACAAACTAGATGAACACAGTAAGCCTGGAGCGTTCAGAGTCCCTGGAGTTCTGCCGATTTTGTAATCCAAATGACATGCAATATCTGCGATTCAGTGAATTTCTGTAGAGCTGCCAATCATGCTGGTGTGGCTTTTTTCTGAAGGGGGGTGAGGGTTCAGTGTGAATTTAGTTTGGCTATTGTGCAAAGAATATGACTAAAGAAATATGGGAAACAAGTGGATGCAGGTTCCACGGTGATTACTAGTTGCCAGTGAGTTGACTCGTGCTCCTTCAGGTTGGGCTTGTGGCTGCTGGGAACTCTGGCTCTGTGTTCTGAGTTGGTTGTCCTCTCTCAGTTACTGGTGGCATATCCAATTAATTTGACTAGCCTCCAAACTTTGTTGTCGTTGGAAGTAGTGGGAGTTAAATCAAACCGAGATTAGGTTTTAAAAGGAACTTGTTTGTTGTTTCTCAATCAAAGATACGTAAATCAAACAACCTAATAACTTTAAACAAAACAAAACAGATAAATTCACAGAAGGTTTGAGAGACCTCATGATTATAATTCACGGTGCTGAGATGAGTCAAATAGATTGGGGGAAATTTTCATCCCAGTTTAAGCTCGAAAATAAAATAAAATTTAAAGTCACAGAGTTTCTCCGGGCAGGCTCTTGAAGGCAGGGCTCTGGAAGTAGAGGGAGCAAGCAAAAATAAATAAAATGCCATAAACAGTTATACATTTCTTAATTCTTAATTTCTAAGCATTAGACAAAAAGGAAAACTATTGTAGTTGTAATTGTTTTTAACAATTGGATCTGTTACTTGTAAACAACACAATTTATAGTAATAAAATAAAGATTGTAAATAAATATAATAAATATAGTAAATAATAAAACACAGACAGTTATAGATTCATAAGCAAGGAGGGAAGTTAAGAGTACTTCAAATTAACTTTAGCCTATGATTCTTTAGCTTCCAACATAGCTTCTAAATATGAAAAACAGGGTAAATAAACTACTCAAAACTACCTAACTTTACAAAGATTATTTAACTAAAACGAAGTACACAAGACAGGTTTATAGTGAGGGGGATATTCTTTGTTCATACAATGAATTTGATGTTGAGTCCTTTTCTCCAGCCAGGCGATTTAGATGCCTGTTGATCTTCTTATTGTTATAGAATACCCTTAGGGGGCTTAATTGAGGTAAAAGGGGAAGGTAAGACAGGACTAGCTTGGAGTCATTAACTGACCCTACAAGTTTTAACTGACTTTCCAGTTATTTCTCACATTTAACTGTCCCTGTTAGGGAAGCTACTTCACTAATGATGCAACTTATCACAAAACACACGGTTCAGATGGATCCATAGTTTTGTTAGGGTTAAATTAATTTGAAAATGCGCTACTTTGGCTCTGATCCAGCTGCCTCTTTCTGTCGATAAATCACCATGCTGGAGTCTAATTGGTTACAAGTCGCAAAAATCAACAGTGACGAGACATTTGCTCTGGTGAGCAACGGAGCTGCGTGTCGAAGGGAAGGCAGCCTACTGAAGCTGCAATAAACTTCACAAAATGATGATCTGCTTCTATAATGACAAGCAGCCCAGTGTCCCTGTTACATCTTTGAACATGCCCAAACAGAGCTACTGGGTTTCACTTAACGACACTCTTGAAAGTGACGGCTTTTGATATTAGATATAAGTCTAATTTCTGGACATGTCAGAGAACACAGATGTTGGAGAGATTCTGAATGTGCAGAAGTTTTGAACATGAGCAGAAAACCTGCTGAAACACAGCAGGTTTTTGTATTAAAGTCCAGGAAGGAAGAATGAATCATGCCTGCATGTGTGCTGACTCAGCAGGGATTTTATTAAATTATAAAAGTTGATCTACAGGAGAAATATAGGCTATTTAAAAGCAATAGATTGTCTGAAAGCCTTACTGCATTATATTCTATTAATTTTTTAGATTTTGAATTGTCACCTGCTGCCGGAAGTTTGTGTTTCCCTTTACATAAATGAAGAATTTTCCACCATAAATTGAGTCAGAAAAGGCAGAAATGTTCACCAGAATGCAAGAAATGAAGTCTTCAATGCTTACAATTTTCTGGGGAAGGACCCCCACACCCTCCTCTTCATATAAGTCACCTCCACTATTGAAACTAAACCAATGCTGTTGTATTTCAAGAAATCTACCACATAATGCAAGAAAACAGTCTCTGGGTTGACAGTTTATGGAGGGACGCATGTAGGTTTGGTCTCCCAATTTAGGCTATAATGTTGGAATTGACAAGTATGCTGATCACACTTCACAATTCATTATTGACTATGATTACGGCTTTTCATCTATACATGCTAAAATTGTGAGTTTGGCTGCTGAACCTTTAAAACAATTCTTGAGGATAGGGGAGCGATGACCCCAACCCCTGAGGTGGACTTTTTAGGGTTGGGCATAGTGGGGGTGCCAATTTAATATCGCGCCTCAGGCTCCAATTATAACTATACTATATGTTTGACTTCACTGCACAGCGCTGACTTAACGTGATGCATGGTAGACTTAAAATAAGGCATGCTGGTTAGAAATTGTGTCCGACTTTGGCCCGGCGCTGCAAAACATCACCATGTCACATGACATTAAAACCTTGCGGGAGCAGGGCGGTTTTTGCTGTTTTAGTCTGGACAGGAGGTGCAAACGTAGCAAAAGGTCTCCGTTTTAAAACGAAAACGCAGTAGTGTGGATGGGGCCTGGATCTCCTCGGCTGGTCTCAATAAACCATGCTATGTTAAGTTGTCATCAGTCTCCGAAACTTCTTCATACCTGAACCTGGCTCACAGTAATTCTTCAACACATTAATTCTACACCAAGGTGTGAAGAGTAACAGGAAAGCCTCATTCTCTGATCTGTGCCTATGTATGTATGTGGAGATCCAGCTTAGAGGCCTTAGTTTATGGCCTCTGTCCACCTAGAGGTCCTGACATCCTACTTCAGGGAGAGTTTACATATCTGGACATGGTTAATTAAGTGGACCTGCCCAGTAAGGGGTAGAACGATTGATTTTTGCCTCAAAATGCAAATGCAAAATCCATGGACGATCCTAGTATTTTGTCACTCTATGCATGCTACACACCTCCGTAAAGCTAGGAGGCTCAGCTAGAAGCTCAAACCAACCATTTTTATCCATAACAAACACACATCAACCACCAAGCATCTAAATGAACTTATATCACAACATGTAATCACTATACATGGCTACAGTTATTGCCATCCAGATATCTCTCATCGCATCCTTCAGAGCAGTCCGACCTCTGTTCTGTTTTCAACTGTGAAGGCCTGTAAAACATGGGAGTCCTTTTGGTCACAGAATGTTGATTAATATTCACTGTTTTCATCAATATTTCAATGTTTTGTAAGTTTTATGTTATTTGGAACATGGTTGTATGGACAGAAATAGTGTTGTGAAGAAAACTTCCAATAAAAGTGAACATATAAACAGTAAACATGGCCAAAACATGGACATTTGCCTGGTATATATTAGAAGAATTGTGTAATTCTTTCTTTTCATCAAATGTACAGTTAAGGTTGTATTCCAGGTGTATTAGAACATATTCAATTGCACTATAATGAGTCGGATGATGGTTGCTATTAAAATATAGATTTAATACCGGGCAGAGATGAAAATATCATATTTAGCTTTATTGCTAAATTATCTATCTAACTAAATGATCTCCATTTACTCTTTAATAGAAAAGTAAATAGATTCAGTTGAATCATATTCCTTAGCTTCTGACCTTTCAAAGGGGACCAGAATCATGCATCTAGGCCTAATGGTTGAAGAGTTGTTACTGATGCATTTTGAGCATGTTATTTTAGGCATTTTTCCTGGTAAGAGGTGTCTTTGTTTCAGAGGTTAAATTGTCATTTTTACAGTCAGGTATCTTAACTCCAAAGGAGATGGTGGTTTGTCTGGTTGATAACTTCACAACCAGCACTCAAAGTGGAAACAAAGTTTTTGATGTGGTAGGCCTCATTTAAACCACCTCCTCTTTTGGGGTGTTTGGAGCCTGGAACCAGACCATCTGCTCGACGGCTGATAACTCAACCCCTCTTCTTATTGAGAAACAAAAGAGAGATGGCTTCTGTCCTTTGTATGTGAGAAAGGCTAACTCTTTGGGTCAGCCAGGTTTGTAATAAAAGAGGGCTGACCTCCTCTTGATTATGAAATAATGTGTCCACTGGTTGTTCACTACACTGATGTGCACAGAATTCAGGATAAAAAAAACCCCGACATGCTTTATACTCTAGTTTTTAAACTGTTGAATATATTTTTGGTCCTATCACTCATACTCAAGAAAAAGTACACTGATTATCTGCTCTTGAATTATGAGATAGCAGCACTTGCACACGCAATGCACAGTATTTTTAAGATCTTTCCACTGGAGATATTATCTGTACATCATTGTTAATTGCAGTCTCTTTTTCTGTTTCTTTCTCTCTCTCTGTCTCTCAGGTGTCCACATTTTACAGAGGATTAGTGGCTGTGAATGGGACGATGAGACTGGAGAAGTTAATGGTTTTAATCGTTATGGTTATGATGGAGAAGACTTCATATTATTTGACCTGAAGACAGAAACATGGATCGCTCTGAAACCACAGGCTGGTCCCTTTAAACTGAAATGGGATGCTGAGGAATCTAGAATAACATTCAACAAGCAGTTCCTCACTCAGATTTGTCCTGGGTGGCTGAAGAAGTATGTGGCCTATGGGAGGAGCTCTCTGCTGAGAACAGGTAGAATCACATGACCAGACGTAGTTTCATGGACTCAACTGGCATGAACTGACATTGTATCGCTCCAATCAGTCTGACATAACATTTCTTTGGTTTCAGTAAGATTTGATTACATTTTTTGGTGCTCTGAAATTACTTTCCATTGACACTGAAACTGTGATTGCCAGTGCAGGTAGTCTAAGTTAAGTAAGTTTACAGAGTTTCAAAATGAAATTAGAGAAAGATTAGTAGATTTTTTTTCACTGAACATTGACACTGTGATTGACTGCTTTGCTGTGAACCATAAAAAGTGTCAGATCTTTTCTCTCTGAATGTGGTGGGTTTCTTAAGTCGTGTTGTTACCTTCTCTGTCTATATGCAGACATTGTGGTGATTGTGTAGGAAAAAGTAGTTGTAATGCAACACTGTCATATGTTCTTACAGCTCCCTCCATTTTCTCTCTCTCTCTCTCTCCAGACCCTCCCTCAGTGTCTCTCCTCCAGAAGACTCCCTCCTCTCCAGTCAGCTGCCACGCTACAGGTTTCTACCCTGACAGAGCCACGATGTTCTGGAGGAAAGATGGAGAGGAGCTTCATGAGGACGTGGACCTCGGAGAGATCCTCCCCAACAACGATGGATCCTTCCAGATGAGTGTTGACCTGAATCTTTCATCAGTCACACCTGAAGACTGGAGGAGGTACGACTGTGTGTTTCATCTCTCTGGTGTGAAGAACGACATCATCACCACACTTGACAAAGCAAAGATCAGAACCAACTGGGGCAAAGGTGAAAAAAACATTTATTTTATTTTTTATTTTTTGCTGAATTGTTCCGTTGAATTGGTCAGATCATGTGACTCTGAAAGCGTAATCAAAACATTTTTTATTACAAATTTTCCAATTATACCACAGAAAGTTTAAACATATCTTAAAGGGGCATCTCAGGAACTTAGTACTGCACTTTTATAAAACTGGCTGACTTGTGAGAGACATTGCAGCAAAGGTGATTAGAGTTATTCTGACATTAGTCTTGAAAATCATCCAAAACACTGTATCCTACATTTACCATAATACACATCAATATTTTTACCTTTTATTAGACCATCCTTGCCAAATAAATGCTCACTTCTTTCAAACTCTACTCCCGAATTTGTAACACGGCCTGTCTGCTAAAAAGTTGTAATCTCCAAGCCCATCCCTGATAATATCCGGAGGGTGAGTTCTTTCAGACTCAGACTTCAGAATAATTCTCTCTGTGATGAAAAAGCTGTACTTGAAAGGCAAAGTTGGAGAAGTGCCAAATTAAATGCAGTGTTTCTACACAACAACAGGTTTCTTTAATGCTGACAGTTCCTTTAGTTAGTTACGTTGTCTGAAACTTTATTGTCCAATATAAAGAAAATTGTCTTTGGCTTTACCACACGGCATCAAAAACAATAGAGGACAATGACTGGCTCCAACAACAGGAACACAACATTATTTAAAACACACAAATACAGTGAAAAATAAAGGTATAAATATAATGGTAAATGAGCTAGATTTTTGTGAAATTCAAAGTTGGGGCATTCAGCATCCTAGTTGAGTTTGGAAAGAATCATTTGCTGCACATTTATTTGGTGGCTTTACCTTGTCTACAGCGCCCTGAGTCCAGATGGTGGGAAGGATCCATTCAAATCTAGAAAGCTTTACTCTTTATATTTCATTCATATTTCCCACTTAGTTTCAGCTGAGGCTTTAGTATAATTGTACTATATTTACAATTATTTCCACTTGCAAATTTATTCTTAACATTCAGATATCCACAACAAACTAATTACCAAAGTTTCTTATACAGTATTTTCAGAGATGTTTACTAACATTATAACCATTAAACTTTCAAAGTATTCCTCCATGACTTTCTTAAAAATGTAGTCAGTTGTGTGAAGTTAGGGTAGCTGTCAATCACAGTTCCAAGATAGTTAAAAAGCAACCGTGATCCAGTGATTGTCAAAGGCTGCAGTTTTTAAGGAGTGTGCCATTTCAGCAGGCCTACTGTATATATTTCTGTACACACACAAATAGTTATACAATACAATAGATCATGTTGTACCACCTGTGTGTGAGATGAACAGATGGGTGAATGTACTTTCTTCATCTTTACATGTTGTGATCACATTTTGTTTGTTTTTTTATTGTTTTTGTGCTGAGCAGATGAGTCCAGAACCCCAATTATTGCTGTAGTGGTTGTTCTTGCTGTCGGCCTCATTGCTGTTATTGGATTTACTGTTTACAAAATGAAAAAAGGTGAGTTGATCCTCTTATCCAGACTGTGATAAATTTTAAATTTTAAAACATAATAAATGTAATAACACAACATCATTTTTTATCAATTTTATTTATATGAGAGAGAATGAGACTGATGATCTGCCATTTTAAACTGCAAGTGAAATTATTTGTCTTTTCTTCTTATTTCAGCCAATCGCCCTCAACCTCGTAAGTAACATCTTTATTTTCAGTTTTCAGTGTGAGCTGAGGTAGTTCAGTGCAGGAAAACAGGACTAACAGTGTGTTTCTGACCTTACAGCTCCTGTCAACAGCTCTGAGCTCTCTGAGAGACTGAAGCCAGAAACATGATTGACAAACACCCCACCCAGCACACAGTGATGTCATGTTGACAACAAAACAGTAACAGTAAATGCTGGGACTGTGCTAAGTATTCACACCTCCAGTCAGGGTCTGAAATTAGCACCCACCAAATGTGGGTAAATTCCTGACAGCGGCGGGTCAAGTCATCGGGCCATCCGCCACTTTGGCGAACAGGGAAAATGCACATGTTGTAGTGTATTGTGGCGTTTGGTGCACACTCCTGTGTGACACAACACACACACCCCCACCAGTCAGCTCAGGGAGTGTCTCTCTGGCAGTGTTTCAGACCAAACTCACCAGAAAAGAGGCACAGTCCATCCTGCGTGACAGCCAGTGACTGAAGGTAACTCTGGTGCGGTCTTCTTCTTCTTTTGTTTTTATGGCAGGTTGCAACCATGCAACCATAAGGTGCATACTACCAGCTAATTTACCTGCATGAATTATCGTTAAGTGAGACTACTTTACTTTATCATAATTATTTTTAAAAACAACAACCTATTAGCCTATATAACCCTTTATCCTTCAGGTATTCCACAACAGCTTTCTGTGTCTCTGGTGCTGTCGGAGAATAAGTTTGTCTATTAGACGCAAGAGGAATCACTTGGTTTTTCAGAGGCCCACTTTTGTATTGAAACTGAGTATTTTTTGTAGCAGGTTTTTGTTGAGATCTTGTGGAGACTTGAACTGTGATAAACATTGTGTATCTTGTTGTCTGTTGGTTCACTGTGAAAGATAAGGTAAGGTGGGGTTGATTCTCATGTGCTGAAAGACATAGGTCCTTTTTACATGTAGCATTTTTGTGCAAATATACCTAAATGAGCTGAATGTTATTCCTTCATTTAGCACATAAATTTCAGTGAGAAAAGTGAATTTCAGACCCTGCCTACAGTTAAACAAGCTTCCGTAAGTTAAAAGTAAAAGAAACCTTCTGAGATTGTTTTGCCATTCACTGTGAAACATCTGTGAAACATCTGTGTCACATTACAGCTGTAAAGAAAATCTCTACACATCGATGGCTTTCTATACAAGCAACAATACTTAGCTTTACATACATAGATACAAAGCTTTATATGAAGATAAGTGAGGTTATGAAGAGAAGAAACAGGCTAAATAAGACATGAACTGTCTTTTTTCAATTTCTTCTTTATTTGCACTGTTGTTTAATTTCTATTACGGTTTATTTTTCAATAAAAGGGCTTTATGTAAAGTCATACAAGTTCACCATCTGTGTCTGTAGCTACAATGACATGATTATTGCACTTTTATTCAGAGACTAAATGAATGTGGCTCCAAACTATAATGGGAGGACAAAATCAGCTGTGCAGATTTATAACATACTGCTGGCATAATACACAAGGATGGAGATAATCCCTAAAAGTATTAATGTTAACATTAATAACCATGTTATTTTCAACATTAATAAATACTGGCATTAATGTTGTGTCAAGACATTGTTCACCTGACCTGTCAGATTTATTTATTTTTTCAAATGGCAGTACTTTGTTAGTTAGCTATAAGTAGTAAAGGGGGGGGGGGGGGGGGGGGTTGAAAGAATTAGTTATAATGATTAATTCACAACTACTCTTGCTGTACATAAGACTTAATTGTTTACATTTTAATATTTTTTACGTATTGAATTTTGCATTTATTTTGTGTCTAAAGCCTATTACTAAAGCCTATTGGTATTTTTTTATATTTATATTAGTATTTCAAATGTAAATGTATATATTTATATGTCTTTTTGACCACTCAAAGCGCTTTTACACTACATCTGCATTCACCATTCACTCACATTCTTTCACTGACCCTAAGTGCTCAAACAGAAACTACCATTCATACACAGCCAGGGGCAATTCAGGGTTCAGTATCTTGCCTAAGGACACTTCCTCATGCAGCCCTCATTATAATGGTGTTATTATAATGTTTTCTTTGAGTGATATGAAATTCTGGCTGTTCTGTGTATAAGTCAGGTCTAATAAAATAAGAGTCATGGGGCCTTGGATCATAAAGAGACTTCCTGTATCAGAGCTTCGTTTTCCTCTTCACAACCAAAACAGTAGCTCAAAGGACCAATATGTGTTGAGATACACAAACATTAAAACATACCAGCTTAAAGCAATTCATATTTAATTATCTTAGTTGAAATCTGGATGGGTGGAAATATTGTGGCACCATCTATAGCCACAAAGCTGCTGTTCAAACATGGCTTTATTTACCATTTATTTATTCGTTCTTTATTCAAAATTATCATAAACAGATTGATTTGAGATATTTGGGGAGGGTATGGCATTTATTTCTCTAAGCAAGGTCCAAAGAAAATATTAGTAATGCTGAATGGTTGTGTTTTCTATAAAATTGACCAGTTGACTCATAACTAGTGAAAAGCAGAAGTCTGATAAAAAACAAGCAGTGGACCAAACCACTTTGAGGCATATGAGAGGGGAGGACATTAACTTTCAAAACTTAAAGATCCATGACGAGAGGGTTTAACAGACCTTTTGTTTAGACCTACCAAATACACTGATTAGATGCGGTCGGACAGCAGAGGTTATATTAAAATTTTAGGATCAAAATGGTTGAGAGGGACTATTCAGTAGTCGCTGGACATCCCTACTAAAGTTCCTATTAAAAGATCCACCTTTGAGTGGAACAGGTTTTTCCACAGACTGCTTAGCATTTATTAAAAGCATTCACCCTGACTTCTGTCAGAGAAGACCTACTGATAGAAATGTTTCACAGCTTATTAAGATCGGGGAGGGGTAGATGTTCAGTTTTGTTGGGTGCCGGCACATGAGGGAGTAAATGAAATGAAGACAAACTAGCAAGAGAGGCATTACAAACGGAAATAACAGTTCAAATACCACTGGCAAAAGGAGAAGGAAAAGCAGTCATTAAGAAAAAAGGTTTTGAAATATGGCAGAAATGGTGAGAGGAAGACAGGAAAGGAAGGAGTTACTATAAAATACAAAAGTCTGTCAGTAATAAAAATTATAGGGAAAGGATCAGGATATTATAATGACAAGACTGAGAGTAGATCACACAGGACTGAATGACACCTTGTTTTTATTGGGGAACAGGAATAGTGAAAAGTGTGAAAAGTTAAAGAAAATGTTGAACATGTCATTTTGCACTGCATATTATTTGAGTTGGAAAGACAGATATTTCAAGATAGGGTTCAGGAGGCAAGGCGGGAATCTGATGGGAACAGGAGAAGAAAAGGGGAGAAGAATCACCAGGAAGGCATTATTTAAATTTCTTTAAGACACAGGGTTGGTGAGAAGAATATGAGAACACCTTATTGGGGTTTGTAGAAGAGTGATATGATGTTACAGACTCCAGTGCAGTAGGTGGTGGTATGCAATCTGCCATTAACTAAGAAGAAGAAGAAGGAACAGGTTTTTCAAGTCCCAACAAAAAAAATCACTGACATAAACAGACATCAGAAGCTAGACAAAACAGCGGAACCAGATCGGAACCCACACCTCTTTATCAAAACAAGATGAAAAAGTTATTTTGCTTGGTTCTCTTCTGTCAAGTCTCATTAGCAGGTAAGATCAAATTTTAATCTTACTTTAAGTTCTTTCCATCAGGGACGCACTGATTTAATTTCATCTTTACCTGAGAACAGGTATGATCACATTATCTGATGTAGTTTCATGGACTCAACTGGCATCAACTGCTATTGTATTATGTATCACTCCAATCAGTATGGAATAACCTGTTTTTGGTGACCGTAAGATTTGATTCAGCCCTAATCAATCAGAAGAGACTGACATTCAATGAAAGATTGTTGTTTTTCACTGAACATTGACATTGTGATTGACTACTTCTCTTTTAACCATACAAAGTGTCAGATCCTTTCTTTCTGACTGTAGTGAGTTTTTCTCAACTTGTTAAAAAAATTGCCTAACCTTAATAAACCTTGTTCATCTTCCAGTGAAACACTCCATGAAGTTTTTCTTCACTGCGTCTTCTGGAGTCCCAAACTTCCCAGAGTTTTTGGCTGCGGTGAAGGTTGATGGCATTTTGGTGGGTTACTGCGACAGCAACAAAAAGATGGAGACAAAACAGCACTGGGTGAAAAACATATTACAAAAAGATCCTCAGCAGAAGAAGTGGTACACTGAAGAGTGTTTTAGAAATCAGCCGAACTTCTTCAAAACCAAGATTCATAATTTGAAGCAGTGCTTTAACCAAAGTGGAGGTAGGTTACATTAGCCTATATTATAACACTGCCTAACTGCTCTGCATCTTTAAATGTAAATTAAAGTGACCCTACAGTATCTAAAGATTACAGTCAGGCCCGTGGAGAACTGCATTGTCCTGGCGGGGAAGCACGTACAGCCAGTATATTATTAACCGAATGGAGAAAGTGATGGAAAAAGTTAGCAGAGGAAAAGATTTGCAGGAATATGTCAGTCTGAAAGTAGAAGTACGGTTAGGGTTACAATGCATCAGGTAGTAATGCTTCAGCTTCTAAAGACAGAGAAAAGTCTGTTGTTTCCCCAATTGCTTGAAAAGTGAAGGCGGTTAGTGCTAGCAAACACCTTCCCTCCTCTTCCGACTCTGGTCTGGGAGCTGAGCAGGAAAGCTAACAGTATGTGTTTTGGCTGCTATGCAACTTAACATTAGCCAAAAGGAAGTCACTAGTAGCTGCATGTCATTAATGCCTTAAGTGTTAGAAGAATCAGGTACAAACTTAGACTAAGCTGGTACACAACTCTGAGCTGTACACATACTGTCCATCCTGATAGTTAGTTTGTATTTAAGTTTTCTGGTTGGTAGGAAAAGAAAGGATGGTGGTGACCATGGAGGAGATGAGGTTAGCAAAGCAAGTTAGGGATGCAAACTAGTCCTTTCAAACTCATGAGATCACTGAGTTTCCTAAGAAAATAAGGTCATTGTGAGCATCTCTTAAAAATATAGTCTTCAGAGAGGCTCAACTCGGAGTCTAGAACGGTATCAAGGTAGTTAAAGTTCCCCACAGTTTCACACGGGGACTGTTTCTGTCTCACAGTGACATGAGCACAGGCTGTGATTATTAAGAATTTCCATTCATTTGGCACAATGTGTCTACGAGGGGCTAAACAAATCTTCCAGTTTTTAAGAAGCTTTTAGATCATCTGGGCCGGTGGTCTTTGTTCGGTTCAGTTTAAGAAGACTTAAGACTAAGAAAACATCAACGGCATTGATAACTATTGATGTCTCTACAGGGAGATCTTTGTATGTGTACCATCCATAGTGTCAAATCTACATTAAACATTGCTCACATTAACAAAGGTTTGACTATCACTCTTTTGCTGTATCTGCTTCTTCTAGAGTTTAGTCCCACTCACGTCTGTCTTATATTAACAGTTAAGAATTTGCCCTCTATTTTATTTTGGAAAAAAATGTTGTTTTGATACCCAGGACTTATTATTATTAATATTATTTGGGACATTTTTCACAGATTTAGTTTCAGATAGTCTGGACTGCAGAATTGGAATAAAATGTCGCAGTTAGTCTCCTAAAGCAGACCACACTTGTGCTTGGTGACAGGTTTCACAGTCTTCACCACAGCCTTGTATTTGGGCAAAAGAGGAATTAATTTGTTGCCAGATTTCCCGAGGTCTGCATACTTATTTATAATTATTTCCCTATAGAATGGGAATATCCCCTGCATGATTTAGACGAGTAGAGCAGTCAGGCATCCCCAGGAGTTATTACAACCTGAACAATCAGACCAATGATCTCCTCACTTCCTTTTGAGAGTACAGTGTTTTCATTATTAATTGAATAAATGAGTCTCCTATATAAAACCCATGTTGCACAGTAATAAAGCATGGATCAGTCATCTTAATTCAGGACTAACTTTTAAACTGTGAAATATAAATTGGGTTTCAAATAAAAGTGTACTGATTATCTGCTCTTGAATCATTAGCACACCGCAAGACTGAATAGCAGGGCATCACACATGCACAATAAT